TTATTATTATTTTGATGATTCAGATCATGTTTATTTGCCTAATAATAAGGATTTCATCTGAAATTCGTCTAGTTAACTTTTTGGCCATATTAGTAATTCTTTTTCGAGCTAACGAGATATTATTATAATCTATATTGTATAGAAAACCATTAGGCAAGCATTGTTTTCTGCTGAATATTTCTCAGCCCTATAGCTATATACGTCTGTCATAGATTTGATTAACTGAAAGCATAATATGATGAGCTGCCGCAAGATATCAAGCTTGAATTGTCATCTTAACCATACTTCAAAAATAAAGATAATATTTCAGCTTTCCTTGTTTGTCAAGCCATTAAAATATTTCTATAAAGAACATTCTACATATCTACAAAGAACATTCCTTAACACTCGTATTAATTGCTCGACAGCCCCCACAAATATATTAAATAAAATACTCTAAACCTCTTTCCCTAATTTTAATAACATAATACGAGGCGTGTATCATCAAATGACTCTGAATTCTCTTTCCTTGCAGCTCTCAAATTCTGCGACTTTGGCTTTGAAGCGAGCCCGTTGCCATATGCGATTTTCCTGGGAATGTGAAAATTGTAATTTTTTGACGATGCTTCAATTAATTTAACCGCACGCATTAGCAACAACAACAACAACAACAACAGCAGGGAAAACTGTAATGAAAAGGGAAGCAAAGACAAACGCTGGCAAATAACAGACGAACGCAAATTGCTGAACAAACACTGGAAAGACGCATGTAAATGTAAATGTAACTGTCTCTGTAACTGTGAAGGTGTATTCGTGAGAGTGTGTCCATGTCTCTGTCTGTGTGTGTGTATGTGCATAGAGCGCATAATAAGAAGAGCAAATAGCAACGAGCGCGTGCAAAATAAAAATAAATACCAAACGACAAAACGCAGGCCACAGCTAAGAGCAGCCAAAGGAAGTGAAGAAAGGGAGCAGCAGAAGGAGGAGCAGGAGCAGGAGCAGGACATTGGATCCTGGGCTGGGTGACGCGTTTCCTCGTTGGCGGTCAAGGGAAATTTATTGCAATGCGCAAATGAGACAACAACAACGACAACGACAGCAAAACTAAAACGCAAAGCAAACAGCAGTAAAAGCAGTCAAAGAAGAAAAAGTGGAAGAAAATAGAGAAAATAAAACACACACACACACAATCACACACACATACGCTTGCTGCGTGCCCCAAATTGTGGCGAAARAAAAAWAACCAAAAAAAAAAAAAAAAAATTCCGCAACAAATTGAAAAATTGAAGTTTCACCAGCGCCAGCGTCAAGCAACAACCGACGAAAGAAGAAACTTGGCCAAAAGTGTTACAAACAGCCACCAAAAGAAGAGAAACCAAAATAAGTACACAGCCAACAGCAGCAGAGAGGGAGGGGGATACAGGGAGAGTGGAGCTGCGGAACACATTAATGCAACAAAATGGGTGCAACTTTGAATAGACGACGACGTGGCCGTTGCCTGCAACTGAGCGCCGGCTGCTGGTCCGCCGCCTCCTGCTACACAACGTGCAGCCCGCTGCTGCTGCTGCTGCCTCTGCTGGCGCTGCTGAGTCCTGCGGGTGAGTAGTCGAGGGGGTTGCCGAATGTTTATTTAATTTATTAGCAACTTTGGCGAACGGCAACGCCAACGCTGTGCACAAAAATTGGCCAAGAAGTTTTGGCTTTTTTGTCGCCACGCCCATTGGGAGCGCATGGGGTGGCTGGGCGTGCGGGCAAATATTTTAGCCAACAATATTAGTTTGTGCCAGACCACAATTTGACGGCCTCTAAGAGCATATGCTGCCGCATGCTGATACTTTGCTTACGAGCACTTAATCGATTTAAGGCCTGCGCTCGGCGCGCTACGCCAAACAACTTTGACAGTTGATAGAGCCACAGCCAGAGCCAAAGTCTCAGCCACAGCCAGAGCCATTGAGATTCTTCGAATCCGGCGCAAATCTCGGCAGACATTGGCAAACGATAAACTTTGTGGCATGTTTTAACCCTCTTCAGGACCTTCGTTCCGTTTCGGCGACCGGCTTGACGCATTAATCTGAACTTTGCCTTACTTATTTTTAATTAAGTTCATCAAACTACTTGAAAATATAAACAACATTAACTGCCAACTGTGCCATAAAGCCTGCCAATTCGATTGGCATTGAAACCGAGTGAATTTCGGGCTCGCAAATTTGAGAATGTCATTTCATTTTCGGTGTAGGAAGACGGGCCGCAATAACTAAAATATTTCATTATCAAAGAGCTGGCAGGGAGTGGAATGCCAGTGCCTTCAAATTAATTGAAAAATATTTATGTTTAAGCCATGTGCTGTATATGTATGAGTATGATGTTTAAGTATATGTGATGTATCAGTGGTAATAATAGTTTATTGTTTTTAAGCTTATGTCGTATAGTTACTTCTATTCAAAAAGTTTAGCTTTGACTTTGATATTTTTTTTAAAACCAATTGGATTTTTTTAGAAATAAGTCTCATTCTCGTCTATAGTTTAAAGTTTAATTAAAATATATGTGAAATGCAAGATTTGATTCGTTTAAACGTGTTGCTGAAAAGACTTGAACAAACGATTCTGATTTAATTGAGATCACAATAAATAATTAAATAAATTAAAAGCAAGCTTAAAGAATTTCTTAATATTTCTTAATTAAAAATAATTCTGTTACATCATAATATAAATTAAAACTTGTTTTATACATTTCGTCATACGTGACGTATACGCAATGCGGGCTGTGCGCTTTAAGGCCTAATGGCTCTTCATTTCATATTTCTTATTACAGTATTTTTTTTTTTTTTTTTTTTTTTTTTTGATACTCTTAATTAAGTGAATCGCTCTGCCTGGTCTGTTAGTTTTTCGAGCACTTTGGTAAAAGTTTGGACGCCACAGCATTTAATTAAATAAATAAAAGTACGCAACTTTTTCCACGCAATATTAATTTCTTTTTTTTTTTTTTTTTTGCCTTTGCCTTTGCCTTGCAGTTGTCAAAGCAAATGTTTTAGCTGTTTGGCAACTCACTCAAAGTATGTTTTTTTTTCTCTCTCTCTGACTGACATATAGAGTCTCGTCTAGACAGCTGGCAAAGAAAATGGGAATGAAAATGATTATTGCGGCCGGGCCACTTAATTGCGTCGGAAAGCGCGTTCACTGAATTATAGATAAAAATCTTACTTACAGTTATTACGTGGTCACGTACGCATGTCCAGAAAGCCAACAAAAAAGAGGAAAAAAAAATGTGTAGAGCGTAGAAGAGTGAGCAAGAATAATAGAATTAAGTAAACGTGGCTGGCAGCATAACAGCATAACGGCAAAAGAGCTTCGGTAAAGGAAATACAAATTTATTGGCAGCACATGAAACTAATGCCAAAGGACACGCCGAACTGTATTAAAGCAAAGCCGATGGCAAAATGCGACAGATTGTTAACAAGCATATTGATAAATTAGCTTAATCAATTACAAGAATTTAGTCAAATTAATTGGGTTTGCTATGACAAGCTTCACTGTGGCTGGCTGCTGCTAATTAGCGCCCGAGAGCATGCAACTATAATTTAAACTTTGCCACACAGACGTGTGTCAAATGTGTCCAAAGAGTGCGACTGCCCTAGCTGGACATGTAATTAATCATCAAACGTAAAATTGATGTTTTCAATTTAATTGAATTAATCGATTGCATTGGGCTGACTATTGTTATGAGTGGAACTGAGAGTCGAGCTGGGTTTTTGCCCACAGCCAGTGCAAAAGTCGAAATGAATTTTAATTGTATTATTACAGCTGTTGCATGCCAAGATATGTGTGTGTTTGTGTGTGTGTGTGTGAGAGTGCTCTTTAATTGATATACTAATTAAAGAAAATAGGCTCTGTTGTATTTGGCCAACAGGTCAGTTGACAATGATCAACTCAGTTCATTGCTACAGCTGCCCTGATTTATTTTCTGCCCAATTTCACATGAGCCAAGCATCATTAAGCCTTTTGGGCATTGCCATTATAATTTATATTAATTAGGAGCACTCTATTAATTAACGTGTCCCGGGAATAGCCACAAATGAAATGCGCTGCTCAATCATTTGCTTAGGCAGCACATAATGCAGCAGGTCAGGCATTTTTGAGGCTACCCTCCCTCCCCCCTCCTGTTCCATGCAACGGAAAATGACAAACATAACTGCGCTGCATTGTTACTTGCATTGTGGTTTTTTGCTTTGTGTGGCTGCGTTTAAGTCGCTGGCTTTGGCCATTTTCATAAGCTGCCTGCAAATCGATGACAAAGTTTTCTCGACGGCTGCCTGCAAATATGCAAATGCAAGTGCGCCTGCAATGCAGCAAAGCGGCGAGGAACGTGCTCCACTTACAGCAACAACTGCAATAATAACAGCAACAGCAACAGCAACAACAACAACAACAACAACAACAACGGAACGCACTCATCGTCAAAGAAAACGAGCCTGACAGAGAGATAAACACATACACACACATAGACTGGCTCACCGACTGAAACATAGACAATGGACAGCTTGTCCTCGTTTTTGTTGTTGCTATTCTTGTCGCTGGAGACTGAGACAAACTTCCGCCTCTGATTGCAGATTAAGCACGTTTCAGGCGTCTGCCTCGGCCGGCGCCTGAACGCCTGCCAGGGCTCTAAATTGATGCGTATTGATGCTGCAGGCGTTGCGTTATTATACACATACACATATACACCCATACATATATATATATATATGTATACATATATAGCTGTGTATTTCCTCAAGGCTTCGCATCCGGCCCAACGTTTCGGTCCGACCACCAAATCAATCTAAATTATCATCTCAGCTGCATTACGTTTATGGCTCTCAAGTTTATCATAAATTCTATATTCATATTCCAGCCTGTCATAGCTATGCAAATCCAACCAACAGCAATGACACCAATTAGTTGAAAGTTTGACCTCTTGCAGTGCGGGAACTTAAAGCGGAACTCGACTGGTTTTCTCTACTCATTCAAAGTATGCTAAAATATTCGATTTAATATTCAAAACAAATAACTGTTTGCGTATCGGCGACTGCTGCTGACACTTGCCACATTCGCATTCATATTCTCGCTTGATTCTATTTGATTTTGCCTGCGTCTGGCATTTGGCTGCAGGCCGTAAATTTAATCATTTAAAATCAACAATAATTAAGCACGAAACTTTTCCTCAACTTCAATTTCAGCTTCAGCTTCAGTAAGGTCGTCGTGATTAGATCATAACTCTGGCATTTACACGACATCAAATGGAAAACTTTTCCAGTGAATAATCCACTGCACCCGCGTTCCCAGAAACCCCTACGGTTACGGCACACCTTAATTAAGCACCGCATTAGATGATAAAAACTTTCCATGTTGCATAGTGTTGCTTGTCTGTTGCTGTCTCAATAATTAGTCAGGTTGACCCCGTACGTTAGCTTCAGTTGACTTGTCGTCACGACTGCCTCACCTGGCACTTGTCAAAATTCATTATTGAATCAAAAGCGACAACAGAAAAGCTGATTAGATTAAATTTCCCTGTTGAGTGGCTGACATCTGTACGAGGTTTAATTGGAGTCGAGCCAGAGGAGTTGAAGAAAGGAGGAATAAGAATATTTTCATTAGAAATTGTTACATATTCACGTTAAAGATTCAACAGAAAGCAAAGTTTGAGCATGAATCTTGGCTAATTCTACATTAGACAATGAAAATTTAACTGAAGCTTCAATAAAATAAAAAATGTTTTTTCAATTATAGCTAATTTGTTTTTAAATTTAATTTTATTTATTTATTAAGTGTAAAACCTGATTTTAAACTTTTAAATAAAATAATTAAGTGCTTAATGCAAAGTGTCGACAGTTTGCGAGCGAATGCAAAAAGTGTTGCATACTTTTACGCGCCATTTAAATTGCAGTGCGCTGGGATTATTCACGGCCACAGTAAACACGCATTGCAATGTTAAAAGTTGCAAAGAGCTTAATACTTTAAGTAAATTGGTCTCTAGTATGAAAAGTAAATTTATACTTTATTGTTTCAATAAACAGCGCTATCAAAAGTTAATTGTATTATTCGCGGGCGAAACCATAACTTAGCACTCTGATCTTGCTTATGCGCCCAGACATAGCAAAAGTTCAAGTATATTCGAGAAATAAAATACAATACTTGCTTGTGTTTGAGCAGCAATTGCAGTAGACAATCAAATTGCTAAGAAATGGCCAAAAATGTCTTTTAGCCAGCAAACGAGCTCAACAAAGTGTAGCATACTTTTGCGCGCCTTTCATAACGCACTTTGTTAGAAAGTTGGGTAGTTGAGAGTGCATAATACTAAATCATACTTATGTCATAAATACTCAGCTCAAAGTGTCCGACACACACATACACGTGCATATACATACACATATACACAATCAAATGACGCCGCCGTCGCCGCCAAGCGGAAGCGGCATTCAAAGGCCAGCCTCTCAGCTGCCACTGCAGCCGCTTCCTCGCTGTCGTAGCCCAGCTCGGCTCCTGCTGCTGCTGCTTCTGCTGCTGCTCCGTTTCCTCTCCCACACCGGCGTCCTCATCGTCGGCACTTTAATGGCCGCGCTGTTTGCCTTTGTGCATTGTGCGACTCGCTTAGCTTTTGTGCGCGTTTGTTTTGCCGCCAAAGGCGAGGGGCGAGTGCTAGGCAAAGCCCACCGCACAAAAAGTCAAATGCCTTCAATGCGGCCGCTTCCTGGCGCTTAATGAAAATCCTTATATGTGTCTGTGTGCGTTCAGTTATTTTTAGCTAACTGCCAACGAACGCACCGCATTATGAAATATTTATAGAGCGCTCGCATCAAAGCGCATTCTATAAATATTGCTTATGCGGAATTCGCGTTGATTCCCCAAAGTTCAATTGCCCTTTTATTTGCGGCTTGTTTCACTCAATCTAATTCCCCTGATATTGGCAAATGACGTCATCTCCCGACTAGCTGTCAGCGCTGAGCACTTGCTCGTTGGGCAAACGAGCGGGGGATTCAATTTTCCGCAGAATCACAAAGTGGGAAACGAAATCATTATTGTAAAAGCTTTTCTAAAAATATAGCGAAATAGAGCTACTACAATTCAGCTAAATAAGCTGCAAAAATAAAAATAATTTGTATAGCTACAAATAGTTTTATACTGGTTTCACTGGTTTTATCGGATCATCAGTTCTATTGTTTTCTAGTTTTAATAATTAATTCCATAATTTAATTCCTTTTTACTTATTTTATTTTTAAAATTATTTTTGAATTTGATTATTATT